GCTGCATGTGTTAATATCACTACTTAAATTAAGTGCTGAAATTGGGGTTTCCATTAAACCCTCATGGCCCCCACCAATTCGTTTGTTGATTGTCGCTTTAGGAAAAATTCCATATTGATTGTATTCTATACAGTTAATTGGCTTTTCACCCCCAAATGGGGGGCAGAATGTCAAGGGTATGCATTTGATTTTAAAAGTATTAGACACGATTATTGGCGAATTGTATCCTATATCTCTCTGTTATCTATTGGAGTAGCAAGTAATTATATGTACAACAATACTTGGTGTACATTATATTTACACTTTGTTACGTATCATTACATCATTCGACAATTTAGAAATAAAACAGTTTTTTCATTCAATCAATTCTTGATAACATGAATGATGTAAAGCAAGACGATTAACAAATGGCATAATTCTTAAATGTATGGAATCTCTCATAAACACTGGACAGAAAGGTGTATATATATACATATATTTGTCCCTTCAGTTTCACGTAATATTTATATCCTATTTGGTTAGGATAAAATTTAGATTTTTAGTAGATTTTGATAAAAGTTGGTGAAATATGTGATTGAAAAGTTGCATATCCTATAAAATGTATAGTTGAAAACAAATTTGAGAAAATAAATTTTAAGAAACGGGAACCAAAAAAGGACTTAACCTTTGTTTGGTAGATATATTTTGAGAATAGATTTTGAATTTATTTATTTTTTTGAAATGTACGGTTAAAAAATATGAAAAAGTTAAGAGTTTACATGCAAAATTATTTTGTTAGAAGAATATATGATGAAAACGAATTTCGAAAAAAATATATTTCAACAAATGTAGGCTAAACATGGACTTACTCTCATGTTACATTAATAATATGTGAGTGTCTTTTTCTATATATATATATACATATTTATTCCCTTGAAATGTCCTCCACGGTTGTTGGAGCGGGACCCAAGAACTTAATACCTCAAGGCCAACCGAAACTGCTTATAATTTCCCAGAAAAAAGTAGTTTTTCCACTCGAATCAACTTGCCGATCTTCAATCCTTCCCACGCTGAAGCCGCCTTTATTTTAACGTCCCACCATGGAATTTTCTTTCTATACCCTAAAAACCCTCCAACATTGCATCTTTAGCCATATCAAACAGACCCTTAAAAACCTATTTTCTCTGTTCTATACACAAAATATCAGCAAAAACACTGATCCTTCCACTGAACATCGTCCGTCTTCTTCATTAGCATCACTCCCTCTTTACATTACAAACACATCGATCAAGAATCAACTCAAGATTGAAGAATACAGAAGTTTTATACCGCGGGTCAGGACCGGAACACGAGATCTTGATCCCTGTTGTGCAGTGTGTTTGAATAATATACAGGATTGTGACATGGTGAGGGAACTTATGAATTGCCCGCATGTGTTTCACAGTAAGTGCCTGGACTGTTGGATTGATCAAGGCCATCAAACATGCCCGATGTGCAGAGCCAAGCTTTTGCAGAATAAAAAACAAGAATTGGGATTTGAAGAAGATCCATTTAGATCAGAGAGAATGGTTTACTTGTTTGGTGAAGATTATGTGATGAGTACTAGATGATTGAATGCATTTGTCTATTCGGGTAACACCAGGAAATTGTGCTCTATAAGAGAATGTTAGTCATAACATTTGTGGCATCTATGACATAATGAATTAAATGTTAATTTATTTTTATTCCTTATTGCACTACGTATTCCATGTTACAAACATACCATCATAGTTTAAAAGTGAGATCATATATAATTTAAGAACTTTAAATAACTATAAAAGAAGTAAATCTCAACTAATTATGAAACAAGTTATTAATTTGGGGAAAAATGTCATAGAGATCAAAGAAATCTTGATATATATCCAATGTATTTACAGCGTGATTAGATTGAATGGTACTTGTTGACCTCGCGAATTGGACCTTCCACGTGGCCAACCGATAGCTGCTCCACGTAATCCTCTCTGTTCACAGTCAACGCACGGTCAGATGCACACGGCCGGAACCAGCGAGGGTGGCGGCGGCCGCATACACTCCGACAGTCAAGTTAGCTTCTGGTAATCGGAACAGTACCAAAGTTGTGCAAAAATGGTGGGGAGGAGAATATATAAAATACTTGTTATAGAGAGCTAAGTTGTAAGAGTTTCATCCCCTTTGCCTCTTGTCAAACCTTGGGTATTTATAGTTGAGGAGAACCGTTAGATGTGAGATACGTGTATACATCTGACAGTGTGAGGCGTCTGCTCATAATCAGCCACGTCTATAGAGTGGGCGGATAATAACTTCTCCCGAGTTGAGTTGACATAAAGTTGATACGTCACATCAACTAAACCCATGGAGACGTCAAATCAATTAAACCTTGGGGGCAAAAAGGATCTTGACACAGACCTCTTTCTGAAATTGACGGCTGATCCTCTGATAGAGATCCTCGAAGTGCATTGCGCTTTGACGTCAGAGGCAAGAATGCTTCGGTTGGTTCAGTAGAATTGTTTGTGGCTCGTAGCGCATTAGCAGCTCGTCAACATTAGTGGTGGAGTCACTTCGGATGGGTGTTGGACACCTCGTATGACGCAATAATAGACTTTTCAAAGTGATTCAAATAGGGGCGTAACAGTGGTCTCCCCAAGTTCAGGCATGAATATTTATATCATGGGTGGACTTGTTTTCCCAATCGGGTATGCCTACCTCGGGATAGGAACCACGGTTTGTGAGAGCTTGTGGGTTGGTTTTCTGTATTCACAGAAGATATGAAGGTCGGGACATATCTTCCACAGACGCGCTAAAGCTTCATTACTGCCTAAGGAAAGAGCTTATCCGTAACTGATATGCTGGCCAACAGGACAGTGCGTTGGGAGACGGCTAAAGCTTTGTAAAGCTTGGGCGGGACATAGCTACCGAGGCGATGACCTATAGGGGACTCTGCTTCAGGTGCGTCTAAGATTAGTAAAGCTGAGTGAGGAGTTCATCTGCCACCGGTGCACTGATCCACAGGGGACGACACTTTGGGAGATGGCTAAAGCTTTGTAAAGCTTGGAGGAACGCAGCTACCGAGGCGATGACCCACAGGGGACTCCGCGTCAGGTACGTCTAAGTTTTGAAAGCTGAGTGAGGAGATCATCTGTCACCGGTGCGCTGACCTATAGAGGACGACACGTTGGGAGATGGCTAAAGCTTTGTAAAGCTTTGGATGGAACGCAGCTACCGAGATGATGACCCATAGGGGACTCCATGTCAGGTGTGTCTAAACTTTGTAAAGTTGAGCGAGGGGCTCATCTGCTATAGGTGCCCTGACCCACCGGGGACGACGCGTTGGGAAATAGCTAAAGCTTTGTAAAGCTTAGGAAGGAATGCAGCTGCCGAGACAATGACCCACAGGGGACTCCGCGTCTGGTGCGTCTAAACTTTGTAAAGCTGTGTGGAGCTCATATGTCACCGGTGCGCTGACCTACAGGGGACGACGCTTTGGGAGATGGCTAAAGCTTTATAAAGCTTCGGAGGGGATGTAGATACCGAGGCGATGACCCACAGGGGACTTCACATTAGGTGCGTTTAAGCTTCGTAAAGCTGAGTGTGGAACTCATCTGCCACTGGTGCGCTGACCTACAGGGGACGACGCGTTGGAAGATGACTAAAGCTTTGTAAAGCTTAGGAGGGAACACAGCTACCGAGGCGATGACCCATAGGGGACTTCGTGTCAGGTGCATCTAAGCTTTGTAAAGCTGAATGAGGAGCTCATCTGCTCGATCTGAGGCGAACATTTCTGACGTTAAATGATTTGACAACTGTCGCCTATTTCCAAGGCGACAGTTGTGTGCGATGCCCATTCCCAGAAAAGGTTGCTGCGGCTACTTATTGTAGACGGCTGATGGTGATCGAGGTGACACATTTCACGTGAGCGTGAGGGTCACGGTTAGATCTTGGGCGCAGATCAAATTTGGCGTTTCATTTCAACGACCTAGATTGATGATGTGACGAACAGCCTAGATTGATTGCATTTGAAATCTATGGTGGAGATCAGTTGGGACGCTCTATAAAAGGCAGACTTGAGCGTTTGGGGAGTTTTTCACTTTTGCGAAATCAGAAACTCCATTTGCTCTTAAAACTCTTGCATTTTCCAGCGACAACTTCAATTTTTGATGACTTCACAGTGTTTCTGACCATTTTCGACTATGGAACCCGCGTTTCGTGAGTTTCAGTAAGTATTTGACATCTTTCATTTTTGAAAAAAAAAATGACTTCTAAGGGTAGTGGTAGCTCGGGGAGTGGGCTGGAATTAGTACGAATGGATGACCCCATTTTGGCGACCTCTTCCAAACCTTCTGAAGCGATAATTTGGGGACGGGGAGAATATCTGGAAGAGGCTGATAGCCCAGTAGATACATCTGTGCATTGGGGAGTGTTGGATTACCCTTCTAAGCTAAAAAGTGCCGACCTGGATAGACTTAGGACGGAATATAGGATTCTAGACAGTGTAGATCTGTCCTACCCGAACCCGATGAGAGAGTCTGCTATCTTAGGCCAGGGTGCATGGCAATTAGCGAAGTGATTCTTAGGGCTGGCCTTGGCTCCCGATCCATCATTTCTTTCGCCTAGTCCTTAGGTCTTATGGTTTAGCTCCGACCCAGTTGAACCCAAACTCTTGGAGCCAAATGGTGGGCTCCTGGATGTTATGGAGGGAGGCGTCGCTTGGGGTAGAGATGCATTTTTCTGTCTTCCAGACCCTTACATCCCCAAGGTAGCGGATGGGGAGGATAAGACCAGGGGCTGGTATTACCTGACCTCATAGGGTTCCCATACTCCATTCGTGCTCGATCTGCCGAGCTCCATTAAGAAGTGGAAGAGCTCGTGGTGCTGGGCTGTCGGGAGATGGGACACGATGGAGGAGGACCCCCTAACGCCTCCTACAGTCCCCATGAAGTATTCTACACTTAGTGAGTACTGTTGCTTTGCATTTATGTTTATTCTTCTTCGGTTTTGATCGTAACTACTATTTGTTTGCTTTTGAAGACACTCTTCCTCAGTGTGAGATATCCACCGACGACTTCAATATCATTTGCATCATCTACCAGCTGCCTCCGAAGAAGAGGTCATACTACCAGTCAATTAGGAAGAACATTCACTTCGTGACGCATGATCTGATGGCTTCTCAAGGTAAATTTCCCAAAGTGAATACTCTTTAGTAATTTTTCGGACCCTTTAAATTTGTAATAATTTGTTTTTTTCTTTGCAAATAACTTTAATAGGAAAATGCCCCTGAAGCCTGATTTCAAGACCATCCAGAATATGATGGTAGAGGCGAGAGCTTTGAAGACCTCCGTCTTTGCATACAAGAAGCAGATGGAGGATCTGGTGGATGCTAGCAAGAGGCTCCAGCCTTCGACAGAGGAGGAGGTAGCAGAGGATCCGGAGGCCAACTTGCTGCGAAAGGGCAAGAAGTCTGCTGGCACTTCGAAGCGCCCATCAGTGGCGAGCCGCTCCCGGTTCTGAAGCAGACCACCATACCCACTGGGGTGGCCATCCCGAAGAAGACACCTGCACCCTCCGAGACTTCTCCTGCCTTGGCTACAGCCCCAGTTGCTGCTGTTCTAATTGCCCAAGTGCCGGGACAATCGAAGAGGAAGAGAGCCCGTCCTTCGAATGAGGAGGACTTCTTGGGCACAAATTCTGAGGAGCCGGTGAAAGAGGTGCTGGAGGCTCTTCCTCCGAAGATGGCGGTGGTCCACAACAAGTATTGGACAAAGGAATGGAGAGACCACACTGCCTCCTGCACCATCGAAGACCTTGTCGCTGCAAACAATGCCTGTGTGGTCCGGGCCCTAAGCACAAGCATCCAACTTGAGGGCTTGGTGAAAGACCTCAGTGCCAAGAGGGAGGACCTCGCCAAGTGCCTTGAGGAGGCGATGCATTATGGGGACGCAGTACGAAAAGCCCAGGCCAAGGCCTCGGAGGAGGAGAAAACAAGGAAGGAAGCTGAGGCCCAGCTGGCGACTGCCAAGGGGGAGATAGAGTGGCTGAAGAAGGAGCTCTCTAAAATGGAGCGCCGGTGGCTGCAATGACAGAAGAGTGGATCACGCCAATGAGCACCGCCGGCTCGCCACGGAGGCTCTGGAGGTCTCCAATAAAGAAAAAGCTGAGTTGAGGTAGAGGGCGGAGGCCCAGGCTAAGGAGATTGCCTCCCTAAAGGGGGAGATGAAGTCGGCATGGGAGGTAACGGTGCAGCGCTTTATTGACCATTTCGAGGAGCACCCCCTGTACAACGACTTTGCCAACTACTGGGCCTCTTGGAGTGCCCAAGGACTGTTAGGTTGGCTAAAAGAAGTCTACCCTATTCTGGACATATCCTCTTTAAAGACAGAGTTCGATGGGCCTACTGGAGGTTGGCCTGATAGGTTTGTCGAGGAAGCTCCAGAGGCCCCCCAAGAGGAAGAGCCGGCGGCCTGGATGGACGATGCCCCAGTAGAGTAGAACTATTTTTGTAATAACTTCGGCCTCCCTTTTTGTAACTTGATTTTAAGATGAATGTAATGAAAACTTTTATTTCATGTATTGGTGCTTCCTCCTTTTTCTTGTGTTGAACTGTTCATACTTTAGTAAATGGATGAT